ATGTCACGTGAAATGGTTGACTGCTTGAGTTATATCCCACTTTAGTTATATCCCATAAAATTTCCAAAACAAAAGGGGGGATATAAAAGAGGTATGACTGTATTTGTTTTTATCATTATCACTATCAATCCGACCAATTAAAAATTTTACCACACTTTTACCATATATTACTTTCTTATTTGTAAAATAGTTATTATCAAACGACCATCATTATCACTATCAATCCACCCATCCACCATACATACACACTTATATCATCTATTTATTTATTTTGGCTAAAATCTCATCGAAAACAATTTATTATTAATTATTATTATTTAATATTTTCTTTGTTCTTTTTGTACTTCATTTCGCAATATTTTTTAACTAACTTTTTTTAAATCGCAAATGAAAAAAATAAAAATCATTACTATTATTATTACTATGACTTGCTTGATTGATTATATTTATTTTTATTCACAATCTACTCGATTCACACGATTTCGACTAATTCATGCATTCATTTGTTCATCTTATTTATTTGTTTGTTTGTTTATATTATTGTATGTACCATTCACGATGGGCATTGTCAACGGTCAACCAATTAAAAAATACCTTCGTATAGGTGGTTTTTTGAGAAGTGAATTATTAATTAATTACATCAAAGAAACCAAATATTACTTACTACGCGAATTAAAAGTTAATTTTTAATATTTTCAAAATTTTTAAAAATTTTTTTTGCGTATCACTAATAATAATATAAATCAAGTTTAATCCGTTTCATCACCAAATGAACTATTATAAAAATCATTTTTGATTGTGAAATTTGTGTATATTAATATGTACAGAATAGTCATTATCCATTATCATTACTATTTACTATAGAGGGATGAGATTTTAATTGTATATGATTTTCAATTCTTTAATATAAAGGCGTAAAAAATTACTTTAAAAAATCTCGTAAATGATAATTTAATATAAACAAACCTTTTACTATTTTTAAATTATGAGAATAGGGGGTGTTCAAAGTAGTTCTGTTGTTCTTTGTTGTACAATACTTTGGTTGGTATTGATTTACATAATAAAAATTAAAAAAAATTTCACGCACATATAAAACCCGTTATTGATTTTTGTTGTATAATCAATATAAATAATGTTGACGTTCGTCAATATTAGAGAAAGCCATCTCTGGGGCTGGTTAAACAATTGGTTTTTGTTGTTGTTGATAATATTGATGTTCATTGGTGTTATAGAAAGGATTGATGCCGTTTATATGATGTAAAATATTAGTAGAAGCTGCTGCCTTTTGGTTTGGGTAAACATTTTGTCATTCATCATTATTAGTGAAAGCTGTCATTTGAACTGGATAAGCATTTGTTGTTGTTGTTCGTCAATACTGGTAGAAGCTACTATGAACATTTTGTTGTTAAGCTGGGTTTTCTTGTTTTCATTTGTCTGTCATTGGCTTTTATAATGTAACACGGGATTAACACGAATTATTTTAAATTAGCTGATGTTCGAGCACTTGAAGATTATCCAGGGAAAATGAAAACTGCCTATAAAATTTACCAAGAAGAAAGAACTTTAGGAAAAGAAAGCAGAATAAAAGTGAGAAACCTTCATAATGAGGAAAATAATATGTGAAGTCTTATGATTACATAGTTGGAAAGTCTTTTTCAAGGCAAATAGGCAAATTATTTTAGTTTTTTTAGAAATGTAATAAATAATCGTGGCTATTGACAGCACACAAAAACTTGCCCCGCTAATTAAGTAGATTTTTATAGCTCCACTTATTGTTTGATAATAAAAGATACCAAAGTCAGGTATTTATCCCGCAGGACTTCTCAATTATTCGGGAAAAGTCTTTTTCATTTTATCTAGCGTTTTTCTAGCGCTTTCATTGATTGGCTTGAACTCATCACCTCACCAGCTTGGTATGTAATAAGGAAAAGATTCATTTAAACCAATAAAATATTGTGTTTTCGTAGAGTCTTGAAGGAACATGTCCAGGTAATCAATTAATGAATATTGAATAACCAAGAAAATTAGACGAATAAAAAAATGGATGAGACATTACAATATCATTAGTGTTAATCCTGAAAGCTTTATGTAATTAGTATACAACGATTATCATTTGTACAGTCCATTCATTCATTTTTCAAATTTTATTTTGGTTAATACCCATTTTGATTATTTCATTGTTCACTTTAGATTTCAAATCCTCAATTAACACGTGTAATCCCAAACGTTCTTGAGCATCCACAGGATTAAACTGAAGTCGTGTATTTAATTCGTCAAGCTCTCGTCGTAAATGTGCGTTTTCTTCCTCAAGTCTTGTGACTTTTGATTCAAGTTTTGCTACATAAATTTTTTTACGTTCACGACATTGTTTTGCAGCAATACGATTACGTTCAAGCTTTCTTTTTCGACATTCTATATCCGGTATTGTTGATTGACTTTTTGTTTGTGCCGTTAAATTTCGTTCTTGTTGCTGCTGTGGTGGTGGTGGTGATGAATGTGCGAAGATTGAATTGGTAATGAGTGTCTCTGTTAAATAAAATATGTGTAAATTAAATATGCATGTGTGTATATATATATATGATATATATGCAAGTGCATATATATGTATAATTATAAAATATAATGAAAAAGAAATTATTTCCGAATAAAGAAATTAAAAGACCAAATATGGAATTTGAAGTTTTTTATCTGCATGTATGCATGTGTGTGGAGGAATGTGGGTAAATGGATGTATGAATGTGTGGATGATTAAATAAAAAGCATTATTTAAAAAATGCAATTTTTTTGTTTGTTATTTGTTATTTGTTTCAAAAAATTTTTAGGTCAATTGAATAAACAAAAAATTAATTTAAATGGCAAAAAAAATAATAATATGATGATATCATCATATTGTCTTTTCTTTTTAGATAAATGAAAAAATTTATCATAATAACAATAACAAGAACTTACATTATAGTTTGTTTTGTATAATTCATCGTCGGTTTCCCATTTTCTCCCACTACGTATTCTACTACTGTTATGTATTGATTTTGATAATAATAGATTATTATTATTATTGCTACTACTATTATTAATATTACTACTATTACTATAATTATTATTGCGTATATCTTCTCTTATTTCAAATCTTTTGTGTGAAGGATAATTAAAACCATGAGTTGTTGAATTTGACGAAGAGGAAGAAACGCTCCACCTGTGATTATTATTATTATATTTTAGATCAAATTTTCTTATATCATAGGAATCACTTTCTTCGCCTTCGTCAAATGAAGAAGAAGCGTAATCAAGATTTGTAGTGGTTGAAATATTCTTTGTGTACCGTGTCGATGATATCGATGATGTTGATGTTGGTGATGTTGTTGCAGTGGAAATGGTAGTATTAGTGTTTGGCGATGTTGATGATGTATTATCATTATTATTAGTTGAGTAATCTGTCGTCATATTGTTATCGTTGCTGCTATTAGTATTACTGAAGTTATTGAATATTGAATATTTTCTAACATTCGGTTAATATTAAAAAAATTGAATAATGCGTAAAAATTATATTAATATGATTTGTTGACTAATTCTAGTAATTTCCTAATAGTAGATACTTTAATTAAAAAAATTTTTTTTTTTGTAAAATAAATTCTAATTCGGGTGTCCAGCTCCCTTTATATTAATAATTAATTATTATTATTATATTTATTAAAAATATTTAAAATTTTTTTTCTAAATCTAAAAAAAAATTTAAAATTCTGGGAAAAAAAAGACACTTTTTTCTTCCGGATATTACTTATATATATATATATATTATGTATGTGATATAATATAATAATATATTAATATATCTGATTGTCAAAGTCTATAAACGAAAAAGGGGTTTTTTGGTTTTTTTTCTAAAGAAAAAAATTAAAAGTTAAAATAGAAAAAATTAATGTTTTGTTACATACATTTTGGAGAAAAAAATAATGTAACGCAAAAGTGACGATACAATTACGTATTATTAATTGGATAAGCAAGCATTAGGTGATGCGGAGATCTCTAATCTGGAAAAAAAATATTTTGATCACCAAATATATTTTGTGGAAATGAACATCTTTGAAAATGGCAAAAACAAAAATTCTCAACCCCAAAGATTTTGTAATTATTACTTTATATATTTTTGTATGAATTATTTTTTTTTATAATACAGCGTATATTATTAATATATATTATATATAAATATAATAATATATGTAGTATATACTATATAAATATATATACGCTATCTAATTGTCAAACATTTAATATCATCTACCTTGTGTGTGGAGAAATGTTTCTCAAATTTAAAGAAATTGACATTATTCAATTAAAGAAGAAAAAGAACCATTGTATATATTAACTACATATAAATAAATAAATAAATAATAAATAGAAGTAATTATGCATATTTCGTAGCCGAGGCGATACTCTGAACAAATTATCTAATATTGCATATCGATTGATGATACTTTATAATCGTCGCGTATCTTTTCTTTTTGCCTTTAATATATTTATGTAAATATGTAGAACGCGCGGATATTATGAATGAAATCAAATCAAAAAAATTCAAACTTCTCGATTAGTATTCTTTTTTATTAAAATTATACATAATAATATACATACATGCATTAATTCTTCCATATAAAGAAACATTTAGCAAATATGTGTGTTTCTCTCGCTTTTTTCTTGACCTATTATTTATTTAAAATAAACAAAAAACAAAGAAAAATAAAAATGACACGTGCATATTGCGGTAGGATAATTTTATTGGATGAACTCTGTAATTCATTGGATAATTGAATGTGGCACTATATCACGTGATACGCAAGGAAGTGTTTCAGATATATATTTGTAAAATTTATTATATAATGATCAAATAGAAAAACTTTAATTTTCATTGTTTTTTTTAAAAAAATAAAAAAGATTAATTGTTAAAAATAAAAATCCCTTAAACCAATTAAACCTAAAAATTAAAAAGGCTTGTACATTTAATAATTATTTATGTAAATGAATAAAAATAAAATAATAAATTTTCAAAAGTTAATTAAAATTTTTTACATTTTTATCGTTATTGATAACCTTTTTCTTTCTTTAATTTTCTTTCTTTACTTGTAAAAAAAATTTTTCATGTCAAAGTTAATTTATAAAGAAAAATAACAATTAACTCTAAAAAAGAACATTTAAATTAACAATTAACATAATAACTATATTCAGCCATCTGTATATATTTATACTATTTATATAATATATAATATATGTTATTATTGTCATCCATCGTCATTCATTAACCTTTTTTCATTAATATATAAATAATCCCCTTTCCAAACTATATATAGAAGTAAATTTACTTTTTGAAATAGTTTTTTGGGTTTGTAGATTTTATTTTTTAATTTATTTTTTAAATTTTTTTTTCATTGACGAGGTTTTTCCTCATTTCTCCTCTTCGTAATTTCTTTTTGTTCTTGGCTGTGGTTTTTAATTCACCAAGAAAACAAATTTTTTCTTTTCTTTCTCTTTAATCCAAGAGAAGAAAAAAAAACATTTTTAATGTATTATTTTTATATAACGTTTTTTAACGAAATATTTTTTATACACATTATATAGTGTAATATATCAATCAATCAATCAATCAATCAATCAATAAATCAATCAATAAATCAATCAATCAATCAATCAATCAATCAATCAACAAATAATTTAAATATAATAATAATGTCAACTTTAACATCAAATGAAATTGGTGACGATTTGTTTCGTAGTGCTAAAAGCAAACTTCTTTCTTTATCAAACAAAAATCAAGAAGTAAGTACAAATTTTTATATATTTCGTTTCGCTCTTGAAAATTATAAATTAAATTACTTGATCAATCGACTAATTAATTTATCATCTCTTTAATAATATATTCATTCCATTCACAACAATAAATTACGTAAAAAAGAGGCTTGATCAATTAAACATATTACAAAAATCAAAACCTCAAGCATTAAATGCGATAAGTAATGGTTTAGAAACAATTCCGGATCAGAACTTATCTGGTAATGAAATAAATAATATACTAAATAATTTAAACTCGAGACGAAGAAATCTTAATCCTGATCACAGCCACATTCACCATAATTCCAACAACAGTAATCATTTTCAAAAACGACATCATCACACATCATCTTCATCATCAACAACATCAACTTCTTCCGTCATTTCAACAGCATCGATATTAAACAAAGGCTGTAATGATATAATGGATTTTGATAGCAACAATGATAACAATGATGATGATGATATTAATGATAATGAACATAATATTTTGGATTTAAATTTAAATAATTTAAATTTAAAAAATGACAATTATAAAAACACTACAAAAAGTAATAGCAATAATAGTAATAATAATAGTAATAATAGTAATAATACTAATAATAATAATAATAGTAATAATAACAACAGTCATAGCAACAACAATAATAGTAACAATAATCATGAGCTTTCAAGCTCGGAAAACATTTACAACGATGAAAATATTAATCCTGATATAACTACCAATGATAATGACGATTTAGCAATTTCTAGTAATTCATCATCAAACAAAAGAAAACATTATAAATCCCATCCATCGTTAATAATAAATACAAAAACTTTCCCTTCAACTTCCACTGGCAACAACAGTAGTTCTATTAATATCATTCCTCCTCCTACTACTACTATTTCAACTGCTACCTCAGCAACAAATGCATCCATCATTGCCTCCTCCAATAACAACACCAACGCATCTATGTTGTTGCCGTCATCTTTAAAAGTTCCTAATCGTCTAATAACCCCTGAATCCTCTGATTCTGAATTTGATATATCAGAATTAGATAACCTCAACACTCATTTAACCCTCCCTCCTTCATTTGGTAAAAGAAACAATAGTGTCAGCAACGACAACATTAATCACCGTGTTGCCCGTCATAGTTCTGCTGAACTATATAATGGTAATAATCATCTTTATAATAATAATAAACGTAATAATATTTATCATGATTATAATAATAATTATCGTTCAGCAATGGAAGGTGTCATAATCGAAGAAGAAAGAGGTGGATTACTTGACATAATTGAAAATAATAACGACCTACAAAATCAACATCATCATCAAAATAATAATTATCATAATTCAATTATGAAAAGATCAACAACAACTGTAGCTACAGCTGCCAGCACTATACCATCATCATCGTCATCATCGTCATCATCAGCTTCATTAATAAATCTTAAAAAACATATATTATTACAACAGCAACAAAACCCTCAAAGACCCACCAACCAAAATGATGATTTGTACTCAATAAATGAAGGGATTGATGATAACAGCAGCATAATGTCAAATGAATCTTTATTAGAAGAATTAAGATCAAGAGTTCAAAGACTTGAAGAAGATGCAATTAATGGTAGTAATGGAAATAATAATGAAAAAAGAAGACAAAAAAGAAATAATAATAATCAACAAAATAATGATCCATTAATGTCCCCAACTGGTTTATCACCGGATAGTTCACAAGCTGGTTCAAGTAATTTTACAACAGCATCAACGAATATTTCAAGAAATTCTTCAATGTCAACAAATAATATAGTTAAACATCAAAAACATTTACAGAATGCTTTTGAAGTTTTTGAAAAAAGTTTTAGTGCTTCTGCTGCTGATCAAAAACAACATGATATTACACCCCCACCTTCTCATACTATGGCTATGGTAGTTTCATCTGCTTTACTAATAAATCAAAAACTACGTTCAACAATGAACCAATTGGATGTTGATTATCAACAACAGCAACAGCAACCATCACAACAACAACCATTACGATCTACTGAAAAATCTTTAAAATCTTTAATAAAAACTAGTGATGAACAAATTCGTAGTTTAACTGAATGCTTGTTAGCTTTGTCACCTCCAAAAAAAATAGTTTCTTCTTCCTCCAAAAGAATATCATCTTCATCATTGGAAAATAATAATAATAATAAAGATTACTTACAAATGCCAACTCCACATTCAATACGTTCCATTTCTCCTATACAACGTGTGACTTCTGCTCCTATAATCCCCCCCCCTCATTCTCTACTGAATAATCCTGATATTTCACAACAACAACTATTATTACAACAATTACAATTGCAACAATTACAACAATTGCAACAACTACAACAAAATCAATCATCATCATATCAACAACCATCATCACATTATCAAAGTAATAATGGTAATGAGATGGATCATTCAATATCAACAGCACGTCGTATCTTATCTAATCCATCATCACCAGGTTTACCACCACAACATCAACAAGATGCGGTTGATCAACCACTATCACTTAATCCTTATTCAACTGCATCACCAACAGCAACATCAACATCTTCACGATTATTAGATTATAAAGAACGTCGTTCACGTCGTTTTTCTAGTGGTAATTATGGTGCTTCAACATATTTTAGTACCGGTGGCGCCGCTAATATTCACCAATATCTTCGTAATAATAATGATAACAACAACAACAACAATCTATTTCCTTTGGTACATTCCAATCTTTCTTCGCAATCTCAACAAGCGTCATGTGAATTGCCACGTTTAAATCAAAGATATAGTAGTAATCACAACAATAATTATATATCGAGATATAATAATATTAATAACATTAATAATAGTAATGCTAATTCTGCTGCTACTAATTCTAATAATATTGATGATATTGATACTGCTAGTGATGATGTTAACGATACTGTTGATACCACATCTATAAATGATAACAATGTTGATAACACTGCTATCAATACAAATAATAGTGATGTCACAACTGAAATTGACACACCAAATAACATTAATATCAGTAATGATACAAATCAAAAAATACATCATCATCAAAGGACAAAATCACGACCGTTGTCACATATTCGTAATAATGAAGACCCAATACTATCGCATTCACGTAACAGTTCCATATCATCGCTTTATCGTTCAACTTCCGGTCGATCAACTTATAATAACAATAATAATAATAATAAGCACGTCATCAGTGATGAATATGTTAATTCCCCTGTTAATGTGTCGAGGCAATCATCAAAAGTTTACGAATTTTTAAGAAGATGTCCAAATGAAAGGGATCAAACATAACAAAAAAATTATTTATTTCATTATTTATTATTTATTGTTTTATTATTTGATTTTTTAAATGTATTATATTAATATAGTTAGTTTTCTTTCTTTATATATAAATTCATATCAATTTATTTATTTTATTTATCATTTCAAAAAAAAAAAAATATATATATATATAATTTATTCAGTTTTAAATGTACATTAACTAGTCCGTATTTGGAAACGCCACAATTGTATATTTACAAGTATATATGTGACTATAATACGCCACACTCATTTTTGAATTATTATTATGTTACATCCATCATTACACATAACATACGTAATAATGACGAAATTTAGTTGTCATGGCAAAATCAAGAGTATTACCTCAAATGAAAAATAAAATATATTATGTGTTAACCAGTGTTGGAAATTCGTCGATCTTATGATCTGCAAAAAAAAATTTGTGCACATATGAACACAAGAAATTTTTATT